ATCCCAGGGAGTGGTTAAAGGTACATATTTTACACATAATTTAAGATGCATGGTTAGTTAACTGCTGAGCTGAGGAGACTCAGATGTGGAGGCAAAATCTTCCATTCATTGACATCCTTAAATTAGCAGGGAAGATTTTTTTTTCCTGTTAAATATCCTTTGTTTGTACATCTGGTATACAGTTGGATGTACTGAGATCGACTTTACATTATTTTATGTAATGAATTGCAAATAACAAATAATAAATAATGGACATATTACATTTATTTTTCTGTGACGTATGTTAATATCTTATTGCAATACCATATGGAAAGAAGATCGTCTTTCCCCCTGGGCTGTTGTTTTGCCAGATCATTGCTTTCCTATTACTGCTAATGGATAAATACTTTAATGACGAGTTCAACAAACAATTGCTATAGCTCAACAGTTCACAAGTTTTTTCCACTTAGACCACATACCCCAATGTCCCTTAAGCCTCACCTCTTCACATGATAACTAAAATATTGTTAAGCTTTGCTATCATTTGAACTTGTATGCATTGTTTTCTTGATTTATAGAGAATAAATGCAAATATAACTGATTACATGCACATAACATGAAACAGAGTACTGCAAAGCAAAGCAAATACTCTTCAATTCCACAGTGTAAAAGGCACAACCATAAAGCAACCACATAAAATAACAGAAAAGCCACCTGATGAAATGCATAATAAGCAAAAGCCTAAAAAGTAACTAAAAAGCCTATGAAGAAAGGAAAGATACTAATTTTGTTAGCGGTTAACCTTTCTGTCTACATATGATACTAGCTCTCAATCCCACCAGTACTAGTCACATGGCCCCAGTGACCATTATTCCTAAGAGCACCCCACAGTCCAACACTTAGGCTGGCCATAGATGGCCAAACAAATTCCTCCATCCACACAATCAAGGTTTATAGAGGAATACTGCTCACATTGTATTCTGACAGTGGGGCTCTCCGATATCAGAATACAATGATCTCCAACTCAAGCTCATTGGCTACAATCACTGATCAAGAAAAAAATTCCAACAAGCCTTTTTAACAGAAGTCAATCAATGCATAAACTTCTGTTGAGCAGGAGCTGCAGCACATGGATCAAAATTTTGGCTGGCCCCTGCTGAGCCGACTGAATTTCAATCCACCTATGGTCAGCTTTACAGTTTTCATGCAGACTTGTTGAATCCCCCACCCACTTTTTTACATGTAGTAATCTCCAATGTACTAGAAAGGCTTTCCCTTGGGTCTTGGAGTTTACCTATGAGCATTTGTTTCCATTCACCCAAAAAACCACGAGATCAACTTTGTATTCAAAAACGACTTAAAGGTCATCAAAAGAAACCAGTAAGAGCAGAAATTAGATCAACACTCCCAGGAGGAACCCAAAGAAGGACTCTTACTGAATGGAGCCATTTTTGTCCACGAGGGCAGTGTTAAAGGTATGTATTTACAGTTTTCTTTTACAACTATGTCTATTTAGTGTGCTTTATATTAATGACAGGGTCACTTTAAGAATAAGGTAACTAAAAAGAGAAAAAACTACAGGGAAATGCATTCACTCATTTGAGCAGGACATGAGGTGCTTTAGAGTGCTTCTATATAAAGTGTCCCTCTGTGCATTCTATACACAGCAGCAGTTTTAAATGTTGTCCCTTTTGGAAAATCAAAGCTGTCTGAATATATAAAAAAAACAATTGACAATATTAAATGACAAGCATTATATATATATATTATTAGCAGTATTGTACTGTGTTAGTCATACATTAATAAAGAAAGTTTGAAGTTTGATGATACCCTTTATTAGTTGACTTAAAGAGCAATTCCACTTTTGTTAAGCAAATAACAAACCCCTCTGGGTTATCAGTGTATATTGCAGGAATTTTAGCAAACTTTGCTGCAGATTCCTACCTGTTTCTGCACTGAAGAAATAGCTGTTTGTTGTGTGCAGAACATATCTGAATAGGAGTGACATTTTTATTATTAATCAGCTGACGCACTTGCAGTGTTCTTACGCAGAAAGTTGTATGGTCCGCATCCCTGCAGAAGTGATTAACCCTCTAGGAGTATCTCAGCAAAAATTACATTTTTGTTGCACCCCCCCCCCCCATACTTGCCTGAGACCGATTTTGATCCAGCACTGTGCACAACAGCAGCGGCTCTCCCAGCTTACTGCCTCAAAGCCATTGGCTCCTGCTGCTGTCAAGTACAGCCAGTGAGGAGGGAGTGGTGGGTGGGACACAAAGAGCTGGCTTCGGAGCAAGCAGGCACGAGTGCCCCCATAGCAAACAGCTTGCTATGGGGCACTCAGCAGGAGGGAAGAGCCAGGAGAGGACCTGAGAAGAGAAGATCAGGACTGCTCTGTGCAAAACCATTGTACAGAGCAAGTAAGTATAACATGTTTCTTATATTTTTTTTTTAATTACCTTTAGTATCACTTTAGGTTAGCCAAAAAATAATGTTAATATTCCCAAAATACTAATATTACTATTAATACAAATATCATTTAAATTCCAAGCATTCTATCTATAATATAAATATATATATATACTTTATAAGTGGGAGATTTCCTTGACGTTTTTTCCCAGACAGACCCAGAGACGGTTGTAGAACATTATAAGTAAATCTGACAAGTAATAGAAAAATAATATCTGAGACAGTGTGAGCATTCACCGGTTTATTACAGGCATGAATACACCATAAAATATGAGCCCCAGGCTGCCCCGGACCTCATATGAGGAATGGAGACGGGGATAAATATATGAATTCTTCACACCACATTACAGAAGTAAATATGAAACATTTCGACAAAACCTTATTTCCAGTGTCTCTGCCAGAGAAAAAGAGGAAAAAAATAAATCTGATGGCTGGCAGTGCAAGCAAATCAGCCAGATAACCTGAAACTTCCCACACAATACAATCCTTTCTTACAAGCTGATTTAAGAAGACTTTAATTGCACAAAATCACCATGCAACATTTCCATGCACCAAAAATGGTTTGGGGTTTACAGATACTTTATATAAAAGTTATAAAAGTGTATATTGTGACGATACACATTACACATTATGGCCATATAGTGGATGACGTTATATGAAGTCAAGAAATGCATCCCTTTAGCTCCATGTAGGTCTATGGGCAGGCTGATGTAAATGGACTTACAGGTGTACCTCGGTTTACGAATTTAATGTGTTCTGCGGTACTTTTTGTATTGCAAAAAATTTGTAAACCCGAAATGCGGTTTCCCATAGGAATGCATTGAAAACAAAGTAATTCGTTCTGGAGGTGCACTTTAAAGGCATAAATACTGTACAAGGATATAATTTTAAAAAATCATAAATGCATTGAAAAACAATTAATCTGTTATGGAGGTCAGAAAAAAGTAAAAAAAAAGTCTTATCTGTTCAAAACTCTTTATAAAGTGCACTTTAAAGGCATAAAAACTGTACAGGGACATGATTTAAAACAAAATTGTAAATGCATTAAAAACCAATTAATCCATTCGTATTGCGAAAAAAATTCGTAAACCGAGGCATTTTCAATGGATTTCATTCATAAACCAAAAATTACGTTAACCGAGGCTTTCGTAAACCGAGGTACGAAATCAGTGATCACATGAATCGGGACCTCACACAGAGGTCCTGTACAGCGATCTGTGTTCCCCAGGGAGCACGCTCAGGCAACGGATGCGGAGGCCGTTTAGAAACATGGGCCGGACGGGAACAGGTTAAGGGAGCTTAGTGAGTGTAGTGCAATTTCATTTTACAATGTATACCCAATTACATGCATGGAAAATAAAAAACAGCATTTTTGTTTGCACGTGATTGGATGATTGATGTCAAAAGAATTTCACTAAGCTCTGGGGATACTTTACTTGCAAAGTGCAACTCCCCTTGTATGCCTTTAGTAAATCAATCCAACACAACAAACACTTTTCTTCTGCGCTAGAAAAAGACTCAGTAGACCCAATAGGAATGTTCTGGAATTTTCTGGAATATGCACTGCTTGCTGCCCTCAACAGAACGGGGTGGTCCAAATGCACTGGATGCAAATGGAGAAACAGAAAAAGGGTGCACCAACCTAGTGCATTATCGTTTAAAATATTTATTGAAGAAACAAAGTAAGTATCATACTCACAATAGACATAAAAACACAGGCATGTCAAACTGAACAAGATGTATGATCCAAACAACATCTGAGTCCATAAGATGGAACCTTGGATGACCAACTGGCTAATGCATTTCGAGGACACAACCTCTTCCTCGGAGCCAACCTCTGAGGAAGAGGTTGTGTCCTCGAAATGCGTTAGCCAGTTGGTCATCCAGGGTTCCATCTTATGGACTCAGATGTTGTTTGGATCATACATCTTGTTCAGTTTGACATGCCTGTGTTTTTATGTCTATTGTGAGTATGATACTTACTTTGTTTCTTCAATAAATATTTGAAACAATAATGCACTAGGTCGGTGCGCACTTTTTCTGTTCCTTTAGTAAATCAATCCCTGTGTGTTCTGTTTACACAGTACAGGTGCGAATGGGAGTGTCTAGCTAAGAAGTGTACCAAATAGAGACTAAACAGGAGGTGGGGGGACAGGGAAACATACCAATGACACAAAAAAAACAGGCTACTGTGGCAAAACAATAATAACCATTGTTTTTTCTCCTGAAGCTGAGCTATTTCTTCACTACTTGTCACCAGCTTTTAAAACCCCATGCTGCCGTTATGTGCAGGGTTTTGATAAAAGTTTAAAGATACTCATTAACCACTCTGCAGTCTGGAAGTGGCTGCTAAGGAGAAGCTGCTGGTGGAGGACCAAGTGCTGATTCAAAAAGAAAATGACTAGCTCACCATAAATCGCTAAAATCCAAATTTTAATTCCATCTGTAAAAAAAAAAAAAAAAGCATACTGAAGTCAGAAGACTGCATTCCTATAACACATATCAGCCTGAGTGTTGTTTGTTTTGTTTTATTTTGTTAAAGTGTTACTAAACCCAGGACCCTGCATTCACTATATTTGGTCTCCCCGGACCCTGCATTCACTATATCTGCTCTCCCCGGACCCTGCATTCACTATATCTGCTCTCCCCGGACCCTGCATTCACTATATCCTCTCTTCCCGGACCCTGCATTCACTATATCTGGTCTCCCAGGACCCTGCATTCACTATATCCGGTCTCCCCAGACCCTGCATTCACTATATCCTGATCCTGCATTCACTATATCTGGTTTCCCCAGGTCTCTCCCAGGATCCTGCATTCACTATATCTGGTTTCCCCAGAGACCCTGCATTCACTATATCTGGTCTCCCCGGACCCTGCATTCACTATATCTGGTTTCACCGGACCCTGCATTCACTATATCTGGTCTCCCAGGATCCTGCATTCACTATATCTGGTTTCCCCAGACCCTGCATTCACTATATCTGGTCTCCCCGGACCCTGCATTCACTATATCCTGTCTCCCAGGACCCTGCATTCACTATATCTGGTCTCCCAGGACCCTGCCTTCACTATATCAGCTCTCCCCGGACCCTGATCAGCTCTCCCCGGACCCTGCATTCACTATATCTGCTCTCCCCGGACCCTGCATTCACTATATCTGATCTCCCAGGACCCTGCATTCACTATATCTGGTCCCCCTGGACCCTGCATTCACTATATCCGGTCTCCCAGGACCCTGCATTCACTATATTTGGTCTCCCACAGTACACAGAACATGGAAATACAATTATTTTAGTGAATATAAATTGCTAAATACATTTTCTCATCAGCAGTTAGAGCAGTCTTGTGATTTCTACCAGTGTTCAGCCGAGCACTGGTTAAAGCTTGTAGAATGAGTTTTTATTCTGCTCTAGGAGGATGCAAAGCCCCTGACCTCTGTCTGGACAGTGCTGATTGGCCCTGTGCTGATCACATGCACTCTCCCAAGAAAAAAAAAAACTTTCTAGTAATACGCACTAAACTGAGCATGTGCATGTGTCCATAAGTTCAGTCTGTCTTTTCAGGTGTACATTTCAACAAGAGGGGGGGGGGGGGTCAGAGAAGACAGGATCAAACAGCCTTTTTACACAATGCAGAGGATTAACCCCTTAGGTTCCACAGTGAGTATAACAAGCATGCTTTACTGCATATACAGACTGATTGTACTGTTGTGAGTTTAGTAACACTTTAAGGCAAAGAGAGGTAGTGCAAGACACAGTAAAATATAAGTGTGCTTTGAAGAAGAATTCCACTTTTGTTGAAAAGATCAATCCACTCTGGGTGATCAATGTACATTCTAAGAATTTTAACAAACTTTGTTGCAGATTCCTACCTGTCTCTATTTTGAAGATATAGCTGTTTGTTTGATCATGTGCATACAAATTCTGATTCAGTCCGGCTCATTATAATCACCTGGTGCACTCTCAGTACTGCGATAAGAAAAAGTTACAGTGTCTGCATCTCTTTACTAATTAGTCCTAAGTGAGTATCTCACCCAAAATGAAATTTCTGTTGCAGGGGATGCCTAAAATCTGACTTGTATCTTGCAGACTTCCAGGAAAATTGGTGATCCAATCACACAAACAGGAAATAACTTTTTGGAAGCATTCTTCACACAGATGGTTTACAGAACGCCTCCAGATTGTCATTTTCCATTGAATTACAGCACTATAGATTGAAAAGGAAAGGTCATTTTTAATAACATTCGATTACAATATGGCTTTTGAAGCACTTCTGTACGCTATGTTATTTTTATTTTTCCAGGAAAGTGGAGTTACCCTTTAACCCCTTGCCCTCCTGAGGATTTACTCCCCTGCCAGACCAGGCCATTTTTTGCGACACGGTGCTGCGTTACTTTAACTGACAACTGCGTGGTCATGCAGCGCTGCACCCAAATGAAATGTATGTCCTTTTTCCCCACAAATAGAGCTTTCTTATGGTAGTATGTGATCACCTGTGCGTTTTTTATTTTTTTGCGCTTTAAACAAAAAAAGATTACCAATTTTGAAAAAAAAAAACAATATTTTTTACTTTTTGCTATAAAACATGTCCAGTAAAAAAATGTAAAAAAAATCTAATTTCTTCGTAAATTTAGGCCAAAATGTATTCTGCGACATGCCTTTGCTTAAAAAAAATCCCAATACATGTAAATTGATTGGTTTACATGAAAATTATAGCGTTTACAATTGGTGGTATAGATACAGGAATTTTTCTTTTTTTTATATTCTAGTAATGGCGGTGATCAGCGACTTATAGCGGGACTGCGGCGGGCATTCTGACACTGGGGGGAACTGACTAACTGCCACTGACATCCTCAGTGACACTAATACAGTGATCAGTGCTAATAAAAAGCACTGACATTGTACTAATGGCACTGGGCAGGAAGGCGTTAACATCTGGGGCGATCAAAGGGTTAACTGTGTGCTGTGTGTGTTTTACTGTGTAAGCACGCTGCTTTGTATGGCTCTGCTATGGAGAACAATACAAAGCAGCCTGCTGGATCTGACAGGGGAGAGACCTATATTGTTTACATACAGATCTCTCCTATCATCAGTGATACTCGGCAATTTCCGGGTGCCGGCAGGGAATCACCGGCCGGGACCCGGTGATCGACAGCTAAAGCCAGTAGGGTGCATGTGCGCCCCCTGCCCGAAATACAAAATCACGTATATATACGTGATTTTGCGCAGCCCTGCCGCCCTGTAGCAGTAGTTCTGCTATAGGGCGGTCGGCAAACGGTTAATTTCAGCGAAATGTTACTGCATGCCACACCACAACCATAGCAGGCATTTACTGCGCACGTGGCATATATTATAAAACAGAATGCGCATGTCTGAAGATCACACACTTACTGAGGATTACAAGTTGGCTAAAAAGCCAACATACCTTGCCATCCACTAAATTTCAACTTTTTTATTTTCAAAGCAAAAGTTAAATGTGATGCTCACTAAATATATATGCTTGTATTTTTTTTTTATCTTAATCACTTTTTCGTGCAATAATATTTATTGTAAATGTAACGGCTACGAAAAAAACACTTTTGGAAGAGTGAAGACAAGTCTGACATTCAAGTCCAAGTAAAATGAAAGCGAAGAGGAAAAAAGTGTGCAGGCCGGGCATGAGGACTTGTCAGATGACCGTTAACAGCAGGACCTGGCGTGGAGTAAGCAAGTCACTGCCAGTTTTATCCTTCGTAGTGTGGAAACTTCATCCAAAAAAGACCACTAAGAGGAAGGTGAAGATGACAACTGCCATTTGTGGAAAGTTTAGGTGTCCATGCTCCTTTATCTGTGCTGTTTAACACCTCAGGTCCTTACAGAGGACAATTATGTAAGTGGAGAGTCAACATTTCCTAACAGCATCGTATCTGCCAATAACGGACATTTTTTCTGGCTCTATTTAGAGGTAAATCTAAACCCAGATTCTAAAATATCATATCAGTTTAAGTGGTTCTAAAGGCTCCAGGATTTTCATGTATCCTATGCATGAAGGTAAAAAACTTTCTGTGTGAAGCATCCTCCCCAGCCCCCCCTAATACTCACCTAAGCCCCCTCTCGATCCAGTGATGTGCACTGTCTCCGCTATCCTGGGACTCACTATTCTCATTGGCTGAGACAGAAGTGGGAGCCATTGGTTGTCAATCACAGCCAGAGAGCCAATGAGAAGAGAGAGGGGGCGGGCCGAGCTGGGGCTCCGTGTGTGAATGGACACACAGAGCAGCGGGTGCCCCGATAGCAAGCTGCTTGCTGTGGGGGCACCCGACAGGAGGGAGGGGCCAGGAGAGCCTGCGGGGGACCCAAGAAGAGAAGGATCCAGGCTGCTCCATGCAAGACTACTGCACACAGCAGGTAAGTATAGATATGTTCATTATTTTTTCTTAAAAAAAAAAGCCTTTACAATTGCTTTAACATGTGTTCAAACTTTTTATATCTAAAGTTTTTATAAAATTTGAGACCTGTTAGAGGTGATTTGCTAAAACTGGTGCACGTAGAATCTGGTGCAGCTTTGCATTGTAACCAATCAGCTTCCAGGTTTCTTTGGCAAACTTTCACCCCAGGTTTACAGCTAAGCGTTTTCTGCAGCGTTTTGCAGAAACACAGTACAGTCCATTTAACATGATTTCCTATAGGACACATTCACATCTCCGCATTTTGGAAAGGTCAGGGACTTTTTTGAATACAAAAAGTAGAATTTTTGGTTCTATGGGGCTGCACAGTGGCTTAGTGGTTATCACAACTGCCTTGCAGTAAATGGGTCATGGGTTCGATGCCCAACAATGGCACCTCCTGCATGTTCTCCCTGTGCTTGCATGGGTTTCCACCAGGTACTCCAGTTTCCTCCCACACTCTAAAGACATGCTGGTAGGTTAATTGGATCCTGTCTAAATTGTCCCTAGAATGTATGAATGTAAGTTAGGGACTTTAGATTGTATGCCCCTTGAGGGTTAGGGACTGATCTGAATATACAATATATATGTAAAGTGCTGCGTAAATTGGTGGTGCTATATAAGTACCTGAAATAAATAAATATGGCCAAATGGCCAAACAGTTTGGAGACACCAGACCAAACCACTTCTGGTCTCGGATTTGCTGAGCTAACCATTAGTCCTCATGCACACAGGACTTTTTTTACAGCGGCTGTTTTTGGCTTTAGATCGTTTTTTTCTACAGCCAGTAAACCCCCCAGCATGTTATCCTATGTGTCCATGCACACATAGACTGTAATCGTTTTTTGGCTGGAAAACAAACCCAGAACTAGTGGGTTTCTAGAGGAGTTTTTTAGCTGTAAAAAACCCCTATAACGCTGCAAAACGCGGAAAAACTCCACAAACCGGCGTTTTTGGACATTTTTAACCGAAAAAAATAGGTTTTTGTTAACAAAATGCTGAAAAACGTGGGAAAATGTAGCTAAATGTGGGAAGACGCTGCTAAACGCTAATGCAAAAAAAGCTAAAAAAAAGCTGAAAAACTCACGTTTTTTTTTATGTGACTTTACACAGCTAACATTACCAGCGTTATTAAAACGTCCCGTGTGCATGAGGACTTAGAGAACAGCTGTGTTCATGGAGCGCACCCTGTCCTGGGGTCCAGTACTTGACCATGGACACCTCTTCTTGTCCCCTCCCTTTTTTCTCTTACATTCCTACAAGTGTACCTCCCCTCACCCCAGAGGCCTTCCCGTCTCCCTTCCTCCTTTTTTCCTGGTTCCAGTTTATATCCAAATGGTCGAGGACAATTGGTCAGCATTGTTCTTTGAGTCTTCTTCACATGTAGTGTATGCATATGTATCCCGAACTCTACATCAGGGATAGGCAACCCTAAAGAGGTGGAGATCTACCTGAACAACATGGGAGAAGTCAAAGATCACCGGGCACAGTGTCACCTCACACCTGAATTAAAC